AGACAGTTTGGCCTTGTAGTGGCAGGTGCAAAGAAACAAAGAAGTTGCAAATTAGCAACAAACCAGACCAGATCAGACTTGAAGGACAAGATGTACGTGACTACAGGACTGAGTTTGCGCAGAAGTAAGGGTCAACTGATGAACACAGTGAAGAAGACCATGAACCTTCATCTGAAGACCCCCAGCGACCACCCAAAGACTCCAATTGACATGCGCAAGAGACATTAACATATGCTAAATGAGTTCCTGGAAAAGTTATGAATATAATAAAAATGCAATGAATATGTATGATTAAGGTAGTATAGATGCTTGTTTATTTAATTATCACACACACACATTAGGAGGAGCTATCCCCTGTGTGTCTGGCACTGCAATAAAGAATGCCTGCTTTCTGAAACTCCAAAATTGAGTCTTAGAGAATGAATTAATTACCACTTCCCAGTAACAATCTAAGCGTGTGTTGGATTCCTCATGAGTCCTTTCAAATAAGGATGCAGCTTTCTTCTGTTCAAAACAGGTTCATATCTTCTTCTGTATTAAAAGACAGCTGCTCGGAGTAGAAGAATTGTAATATAGCATCATATGAAACTTGGTAACACACTCTTGACTCAAAGTCTTTAATAGCTCTCTCTGATACCAACAAATGCAATGGCGAAATGGAAATACAGTGAATAAAGTGGCAGAAGGGAATGAAGACAACACTAGTAGAAATAGGAACACACCTGCAAACAATTCTGCCTCCAGAGAAAAGGCTGCATTCAGAAACTGAATGCAGAAGATGGACTATCAGGCAAAAGCTACAGAACCACAACTGGATGCCAAGAGTTGGTACGGACCAAAGGTCAGCACTGACAGAACTGATACTTTGGTCTCTTCCTTACCAATGAGCATAGGGCTCTTAAGCACCACAAGCCTTTTAAATCTTTGAGCTTATCAGGAACTGTGACTTCAGTTTCATCTGGAACTGAGAAGTTCTGCTCCTCTGAATGGTACTAGGTTTTGTGTAAGCAGAACCATCTTTCTGCAGAAGTATGTGGGCCTTACAACTGTTGCAGCAATTTAGTTAAAAACTAGGCACACAGACTTGGGTGGTGGGCGGATAGGGAAACAGAAACAATACGACTGTCCTGTTCCTTACATAATCAGGGAGGGATATGTAGTACCTCCTATCTGTAGGAGTCACAGCTGGTAGTAGAGCTCTGTTTAGCCATAAAGTAATTACGCCTCTGAAATTACTATAACTAAGCTCTTCCCCAGAAAGGTTAATTTCTCTTAATTGTACTCTTTGCTGGAAGAGCTCTGCCACATTTTTCCTCTTCATGTTCACTCTAAGTACACTGTTTAAACAAGTGGAAAGAAGGCAGGAATGAATGAAAACTCAGTCCCTCAGAGGAGAAGTACGCTCTTAGGAAACAAAGGATTTGAAAAAAAAGTGAGTTTTACCAAACCTAAAATGGCAAAACAATGTGTTTTACACAGGACTGTGATATCTAAACCTAGCAGGATCACTGCTAAAACCAGCATTCTCATTTAAGCTAAGGACAAGTCCTGCTTCATCCTTTAAGAACAGCTGTTCTTAGGAGAACACAGTGATCTAAAAGTTACCCTGTCAAGAAGTAAGTAACAATTGATTGGATTATTAGTGTGATGGGACTGTCAAATGTTTCCAGCTAGAAAACCAAAGCCCATCGAACATCAGATCTGTTGGACCTGCCTCACTTTTAAAGAATCAGGTGTGGAGCACACAAGCAATCCAGCACAGACCCAGTCTACTTGATGCACAGGAACAAGACTATACAGAACCAGTGGCTAGGGCAAGCATTATCCCTCACTGAAACTGCTGGAGGGAGGGTACACACACCATAATTTCTGGACACATTTTTGGTGAAAATTCTTAGTTAGTTCTTCATGCTCTTTGACACATTTTCTTTCCACCGCCAAAAAAATTCAAAGCAGAGAGAAGTGTGTCCTGGTATAAATTAGTAAAGCAATGGAGGCTAAAGTTGACCTTTCCTGACAAGCACAGTCTAAGTGAAAATTACATAGGTGAAACTTCACTTTGGGATAAAACTCCCAGCGACACAGTTCTAGATAGATGGCATCAAACAACACGTAACTCAGTCCTGAATCTATGAATACATTGTGAATACCCATGGGACAGCTAGGAAAAGAAAGCAAAGAACAGTTTAGGCCTTCATCTGAGTCAAGACATGGATCTGTGTGTTGGAGACCGTGAGGTGAGACAGGCCTGCCCTAGAGAAATTTCTTGCAAGAACTGGGTCTATGGTGATAGAAGACCTGGTCCTGAGATAGGGTTGCAGATTTCCAGTATCTCCTACATAAACATTGCTATTAGCATTAGCGGTTAGAGCCATCAAGAGATGGGGGGGAAAAAAAAGGATGCTGCTTGAACTTTTACTATTTTGGGGAGGCATCAGACTAAGTCTGCCACAACACATGGTACAGTAAAGTATATTTACTATTCATCACGATAAAGCCTCAGATCAGAGTCAAGGGGCTGGAGTTGACCAGTATGCTACAGGTGACTTACCTCTTAGCTGTAACCTTTTTGGTGATTTTTTTTTTTTTTTCCAGACTGGAAGAATGTAATGGCCAGAGGGGGAAAACCAGTCTGGAAACTGATCATCAGAGACAACTGAAGCAAACTGTAGACCTGTGTCCACCTCTGACACATAGTCCTTCTAATGCATTCAAGTAATTTGGATGGCTTTACAGGCACCAGGCTTCTGTCATCCATTTTTAAGCCATTTTTATTCTATTTCAAATAATGTCACGTGTTTTCATGTCATGTAAGAATATACCTGTTGTAGGCAAAGTAAAGCTGAAATTACGCCACTCAAGAGAATCACCTTAAGGAGACAAAAGGGAAGAAGAGCTTCTCTGAAACACCACTGCAAGGACAGACTAGAGAATGCCAAGTACATCTGGCAGTAAAATACATAGTCTGAACCTAAACAGCAAAACAACCAGGAACAGGTAACTGTGCAGAAGACAGCACTAGCAGTAAAATATGAACTCTGAAGAGTGGGAGTGAAGAGATAGGTTAGATTAAAAAGTTTCTGGAGCAGAGAATGACTCTATGGCAACGCACACCACAATCTCCCTACCTATCCACATGTAGGTGGCGGGACACACGTGTGGTGTAAAGACACCAAACACTAATGTATGAAAACAAAGTGATCTGACTGCACACATAGCTACCATATGAATATGCATATTAGGTAACACTAAAAGAAAAAAGTGAGAACTTGGAAGGTTTGTGTCAGTAACTTTCATTAAAAAAAAAAACCAATCACTGATAAATCTACTAGCCTCAGCTTCCAGAAAGCCTTCCAATAGTTTCTCTTTCCAAAAGCTCAAACTTCAGATACCTTAGACTGATCAGTTAAATAACTGTAACTTCAAGGACTACATCACAACATTGTGTTTCTGTGCCTCACCTGTGTTGGCTAAGAATATACAACTGACACACATAACCTTTTATTATAAGAGTAAAAAGACTGTCTCCACCTGCTGAAAGGGAACAGCTAGATCCTGAAGTACATATAAATAGAGATCAATCTTCATTCTTCTTTAGTATGAATATGACAAAAGAAAAAAATCAGACCTGTTGTAAAACATTTTCTACTTCTGTAATTCTAACTCATGAAAAACAACAGCATCAACAAAAAATAACATAATTTCACTGTAAAAGCCACAAACACTGCTTGTCAGAAATGTCTGCCCATGGCTAACTTGCATATATCCACAGTATTGTAAAATTAGGTAATCTTAAAGCCAGGTCTTTGAAATCATACCACAACAGACATGCAATTTCAAGATAAAATATTTTCATTTTGATCATTCTGGTTGACTAAGTTATTTTCATGTATTTCTTGCAATATTCAATGAAATACTTACATTTCTACTTCCACCTCTGTAATTCTCTAACATTTTAAGTGGAAAACTTACACAGCTGCAGATACAGAATCTAAACTCACACAGTTAAAAAAAGGTGCATTAAGTTGTTTCTACTACTACTAAAAACAACAAAAAATGTATTCTACATGACTCCACAGTTACCAATTAAAATAACTAAAGTTGAAATAGCTGCTCTAAAATCATATTTTTGAAACCTATATTTAGTTAATACTGAACATACATTGCATCCTTCTACTTTAATCCTACATTGTATAAAACTACAGTATTTTTACTAATCTCATAGCAAAAATTAAAAATCCTCAAATCATTAAATTTTTTATTCATTTAGAAGTTTAACTTAAAGCATTAACAGATGTTACTTTAAACAAAAAAATAAATCTGGACCAGTTTCTCAAGCAAATTAAGTGGTGTGAAACCTGTTCATAAATAAGAAATCCCTCCAACTCTGAGCTTCCCACCCACACATTGCAGGGTCTGGAATTTGGTTTTACTACAGAAACAAACAAACAGAAAAAAAACCACAACCCACTCTTACTGCCCTCTCTCCAGGTCAGAATCAATTTCATGCCCTCAGTCAAAGTTGTCTATAACAAACCTTTACTATAAGGAAAGACCTGCAATTTTATGCACAATTGTTCTATTTGGAACAAAATTGATCCGAATCAAGTAATAAAATTTGCTCTCATGACAGTTCTCCTTCAGCTCCACTGAGAGGAATTGAATATACGCAGGGCATAGTTAAAAAAAGACAATACTTTACTTGGAAAAACCCACAGTAAAAGTTCAGTTATATAGTTTCTTTTTTCTTATATAAGAAGGATGGATTTTAAGTTTCATAAAGACGAAGAAATTAATACTTGACAAGTATTTAGGCATGAAAAATATGATTACTCCCAATGGGTTCATTATATCCAACTGAAAAGTGTTATAATTTTTTTAATGATTTTTTTCTTGGTTGTAATATTGAACTTGCTTTCTTGCTTCTTCAAGAAATTCTTGGTTTATACAAACCAAATAACAATATGTGATGTCCTCAAAATAGTATCAGGAGCACTTACTCATCATACTTGATATGATAAATAGCTTCTTCATCAGTGTCCATACAGTCTGAATAAGATGTGGATGGTGTACTGTCCAAATTATTTACATTTTCTCTAGAATGATCTTGACTTAAGTTTCCATTAGTCCTTTTGTAAATGTTACCGCTCTTTCCTTGAGCTTTACCATTCTTATGTCCCTTTGTTGCTCGGGTAACATTTTCTATATGAGCTTCAAACCAGGCTCCAATGCTGACATCACGGGCATCCACCAATTCATTTATCTAAAAAGAAAATATAATAATGAATTTATCCTTTTTTTATGGAATCCAAATTAAGAAATAAGACAACTTACTATGCTACTGCTTAACTTCATTATCAGTAAATCAATTCTAGCTGAGTAACTATCTGAGCTTGAGCAAGTTCAAGTAACATGCAGTCAAGAATATGTTGCACTTTCAGTATTTTCTTTCCTCATTAAAATCTGGTCAGAATATAATCGGTATGTAATTTTAAAAAGCAAGGCTAGATTTCTTTTTTTTTTTTTTTTTCCCCACTCCAAGTCTGAAAGTTAGCTTAATCTCATTATCCTTCCCTCCTGCTTCACCAATTGTTCTTTATGACTAAAATAAGCATAAAATGCATTAAAATACTAGCTCACAACCAAGGGTTTTAAAGACTTCCCTGAGCCTCCAACTTGGAATTATTATTTAACCTTCTACCTTTTGGCCTGCAAATTTAACCCTTCAAGACTCAAGGAGAGAGAGGGAAGAAACAAGTCTAACAAGGTTGCCACCAGTCAGCCAAAATCTTATGACCGTAAGAAATGGAACTATCTCCCAGAATTTCTCCCTTCTGTACTCATAATAATAGTGGTATTAAGCAAACAAACCACTATTACTGTAAATCACGTTTCATTTTCTCATGTCTTCAGCTAATTAAGCAGATGTTCCTTTAATAATACTAAGAACACTTTAAAAAAATTTAATGAACACTTCACCAACAGTATACCAAATAAAAAAATTAATACAACAGAACTACTGCACAGTCATATCACAGAAAACAACGATATGCATACATATGTATATATATACATACACACATATAAGGTTTAAGCTACAGCCTTTGTCAAGTACCAACATAGTGGCAGGCAGATAGCTACTCTTACTAACCCCAAAGGCTAGTTTCTATAGACTGAACAATCTTACAGTATTTTCACAGGAGAAATCCAAAAAACACGCACAGTAACTTTTAGTATTTAGTCAAGCAGCCCTTATGTATCTGAAAGCACAACTGACAGCAGTTTGAGCTAACAAGTTTATCCCAAGAAAGCAATACTTCGTATTTGAGTCTTCATTCACCTTCTTAAAATGACCTCCAAAACTCAGTCCTTTATTCTTCCTCCCATGTAAAACACCAACACATATTTTTTAAATTTTTATTCTTACAACCTACAGTACAATTTTTTACCAGGATGAAAATTTCAGCCGCCATAATAAACAAATCAGAGAAGGACAAACTAATTTCAAATCTATCAATCTATTTGAAATATAAACAGTGTATTCTGGCACTTCTAGAAGGAACCCTCACAAAGGCATTCCTACACAACCTTATGTGTTTGAATTAGTTGTAGCTCAAAGGGCTTCTTTATTTCCTGCTCTCAAAACCACAGTTGGACAAGACACACACTACTAAGGATTCCCCAGTCTGCTGCTTCTTGTGACTGGCTATGAAAGTGACAGAGAAGCCATGCTGGCCAAGTCAAAAATCACCATCAGATCCAGAACAAAAAAAAAATTAAAAAATTAAAGAAAAAAAAAAAATCAGCGCAAACTCTCTTGATCGTTCCTCTCCATTTTATCCTTCCACAATTTGATGTTCATACTTACACAGACTTCCCACCCTTGCTAAGAGAAAGGGCAATTAATTATTGCCACAGACAACTGAGGAACATCAAACGACTATTTTATAGTTTATGAACTAGGTTATTAGTAGCTCTTTGTGAACAGTATTAAACAAATACTGATTTTAGTTAGATTCAGTTTGTGTGCTTTCCGTTTCAAGTTAGAGTTCTCAGCTGAAACGTTTTTACTTCAGCCAGAGATTTTTGGATGAAAAGTAATGAAGACTGTGTGAGAACCAGAAGGGGAAACATGCACATGCTTATGAATGAGCTTTGATTTTTCTAACATCATTCCTGCACACCCAATCCGTGTTTCTGTAACTCCTCTCTTGTAACACATCCTGTATTTCTCCTTTCAGCATTGGAGATCAGCCATCAGTACCGTGCTTAGCCAAGGTGGTGCTCTTCACAGATGCAGAGTCCAAGACCCCCGGTTCTTAAACCAGATACCATTAACAATTCTCAGTCTTAGTAACAAGGAACAGGAGTTGAACATAATTCCACCCACTACTAGTCCTTCAAAGCCCATGTAAATATCAGATGTCAGGTACAACTGGAATACAAAACAAGCTAAAGCATTCTGATTTACGTAATATACAATGACCACATAGAGGAACAGTGTTTAAATCATTATTTTAACCACCTAACAATAATTTAATTATGATTAATTGCGGAGCCGCGGATGAACGAGACACCGAGACAGGTTCAGTGTGGGAGACAGAGCATCAATCAGCGTGTCCCTTTATTGGTCCAGGGTACATATATTTATACAGACAATGATAATTATTATGCCTACTAGTCACTAGCTGATTGGCTTAAGCTCTAAAGGTCGTATTCGCACGTTCCACCTACTTGCAGTTAGCTTACAGCACAAGCTTCTCATAACACTAAGTTTCTCATGCCACTATTTCTGATTCCTCTTGACTTGTTTTCGATACACGACAGTACCGTAACACAATGTTTCTCAGACCACCGTTACCATAACACTGGGTTTCTCAGACCACTATTCCTAATTCCCCTTAACCTGTTTTCGACACACCACGGTACACAGGGCTGAAGCGTCCTTGACATTCCTCCTGTATCAGCAGCTGCGAGCAGCTGCAGGCAAACCCTTGTGGGGCCCAGCATCAGCAGCTAGAGCAGGCTCTGATCATACAATTGCTCGGTGGGCTCAGGAACCTTGTCTCTGAGCCATTCTCCAACAATTAATTTTTTTTTTTTTTTTAATTACTGGTAATTACTGGTTCCATTTTGGCTAGCTTTCCTTTTGGTAGTTGAAATTAGAAAGGGAAGGAGGGCATGGTGGCTGAGACTATTCAGAACGTGGAATAACAGGTATCTTCTTGATTCTAGCTCTGGATGTAGACCCAGTAAGGGACAGGACTTTCCTCAGACAGAAAAAATTAACTACTCTTTCCTATAACTACACAATTCCTTATTGTTTGACAAACAAGCAAGTGCAAAATAATTGGAATACAATCATCTATTCAGCCATCTAACATAGCTCAATTTAAAAGGCCATAAACTAATGTATTAAATAAGTTTATTACCTTTCAATTATATTATTGGCGAAAAATATATTCTTAAGTTCCCTGATTCTATAAGTAGAAATCTTCTTTACACTCCTACTGTCATCTACAAATAGCAAAGAAAACAAAGACTATACCATTATTTTCCTCTATTAAAAACATATGGCTGGCTGAAAAAGTAATCAATTCACATGTAATGAAGGAGGAAGTGTCAGGTTCCTCACATTAGAGATTACAAAAATTCCAAGCTGACTCGGAATAGGTTTGCTCGAGTAAATTTGCCAATATCACCATTCCCTGCCCTCTTCTATTTTCTGCTTTAATGCTGAACAAAAGAGCTAAGAGACTACCTAATACAATTTTTAGTATTACTGAAAATATACATTTTATTGCTCCTTTCCTTTGATCAACTGATCTCCTGCAGCTTTCCATCTCCCCAGTTTTCTCTCCATCCTTTCTTGTATCACCTTTTACACCCACTGATTAACTGTAAAGCGTCAAAAAACTGAAGAACTGCGCTTTTTCCCACTGTAATAAATGGAGACAAAAAGACAATAAAGGAAGCGCACAAGTTTGTGTCTCCATATTCAAGCCACTAATTTTTTTTGACTCCCCGATTCCTCAGAGACTCCTCTCTGATTCCTCCCCTGCACAGAATGCTACAGGAACGCAGAGTAAGTACCATGCCACGTGTCCTTAACACCTAAAACATTAAGTAACAGTTTACATGAAATTAAGACAGCTTCCCATCAGGATGGCAGATTGAAGTAATAGCCTATCTCTAACTGGAATTAACTTGTATACATACAGCAGCCTCAACTGCCTTTTCCTTCTCTGTAATTTTGGACATTTTCCAGCCGAAGAATTACTGTTACGGATAGTTCTTATTTAAGAGAGACACCCAAACAGGAGGTAATATGTCACCATTCCCTATGCATACACATCCTACTAAACAGCCATTGAGCTAGCAATCTGGAAATTGCCCATCTGCTGTTTGAATTAATTCTGGTACTCTGATGTAATCCTATATGACAATATTAAAAAGTTCAAGGAGGTACAAAATTAACAATGAATAATATAAGATTCCTAAAAAAAGCAGCAATAAAATAGCAATCATTACATCACACACAATTTAAAGAAATTGGGTATTTCCATAGTTTAATCTAGTTCTCATGTAGCACTGAAACATTACTATCAAAATAAGTATTTGGCAAGCTTGAAAAAAAAAGTATGTAGGAAAAACGCTACACTTTTCCAGAGAGGTGGGGGTTTTTTAATTAGCTTCTTCTGTTCACAAAAAGTATGTGTTTCACAGGTGTTCTAAACATTTTAAAGAACACAATGTGTCAGAGTTTATGAATTCTCCTGAAACCTGCAACAGCAATGAGCCTGGTAGAGCAATGCTCTCATGACTCTGCAAGAGTCAGCTTAAATCAAGTCAATTTGATCTATGTCATATTGGGAAATTATGTCAAGTCATGCAGAAAGCAATGAGGATAGACACTTTTAGTCAATGAAACAAGAAACTTATTTAACCATACAATTAAACCCACAAGTGTGAGGCAAGTTTCTAGCTTTTAAAGTTTGTTCATACCTTGTACAATCCAATGCCAGGATCAATGAGAAATGAGCGAGATGATGTAGATGGCTGACTGGATGATCCACTGTTTGTTTTTTTGACTTTGTTCTTGCAGTTGGAAACAGCGCAGAGATTGACTTCTCCATCCTGATCTGTCACAGAAGCAGCGGTAGGAGCTTCAGATTCAGAACGTATCAAAAGCTGAACTATGTCATTTAGTCCAACATTGTAGTCAAATAAAGTGTGTCCATCTTCTAGCTGTGGAAAGAAAGGTATACTTGTAAAATTCTACCCTGAGGTAAGTAGTTTCCAAATCTTCCTTTTACAGACAATAATTGCACCAACCAGAAGAGGCAAGACATCTGTTTCAGGTAAATAAAAACCTATGTCTTGAGTATATACAAAAAAGCTCTCATCAGGTTCCCCGCAGCCATGATTTCATCCAATGAAAATCACCAAAAGTCTCAGAATTAGAAACAGACATCTTTACAGACTTTGGACCTTCCAATTATGCATCAACATGAAAGACAATGCAGTGATTCTTCTAGGTTAAAAAAAAAACAGGTAGGATCTATTTTGCCACTTACATGACATACACAATAACGATAAATACAAGTAAGAATTTTTAAATTAAAATCATTGTTTTGTGTACATTTCAGCTACATAAATTCACAATTCACTCTTTCTCAATCTTTTCTAGAAAGCAATGCAGTACCTGACACTTTCCTAATAGTCTGCAAACTACTTCCTAAATGAAACATCTACATATTAAAAAAACCTCATACACATACAACTCCTTTTACTTTTCAAAACTATAAGATCTGAAAGTATCATGATAGAGCAACTACAGTTAGAGGGAAGCAATACCAAAAATATGTATCGGGTCTTCAAGTTTATGAAATAAAGTCTCCTAAATTGAGAGCATTCAGAAACATTTTTCTTCCAGATTCAGCCAGATTCCCCATTCCCCAGCCCCCCTCTACAAGATCAAAACAAGATTATTCACTGTAATTAAGTCTTTTAACTGATCATTTTAAAAGCTATGATAAAACTGAAGAAACATGCACTGTGTAGCACTTCCTCAAATAACTTCGTACACCAGGCCCCACTGTGTTCCAGATGCAATCAGATCCTGCAGAACACCAGAATATAAACAGAAGTACACTTCTGAATTGTATCTAGCACACAGTTACTAAACATTATTTTGGGCCCCACTCCGCACAGCTTTAACATATCTGCTACTATCTTTATTTTACCCAATTATCCCACCTACCTACAATTAAGCTAAGAAACTCACATCAAAAAACATCAAGTTATAGGTCAGGTGAGAATCAAAACAGGGAGTAGTGACCACAGCTGCTTTGCTCAGTTAAACCCTCTTAATGACCTACAGCATCTTTAAAGTAAAGATTTAATTGAGCTAAACTTATAATGCACTGCTTTGGGACATTAAAACTACAATGTGGTTAGTTACATTTTACTTCACATTGCAGTGGGAGAAAAATGTGCATAACTAAAAAACTCCCACCTCTTTCCAAACTACTTTTGAAACAAAAATTACTTGAGCTTTTTCCAGAATAGGTGCTATTTTCAACATCACTGTTTCAGGAAGCTGTTTTCATGAGCTTATGGGCAGTATCAATACAACAACAAAAAGCAGGGAGCAGGAAGGAACAGAAATGAAAAAGAAACAGGAAGGAATTCTCCTATTTCTCACTAATACAGTTTTCTGTAACATTCCAATGATCTCAGGATGGATGAAAGTGAAATGCGCACTTCTTTCATCCTCTCTGCTTTTTCAAAATAACATTAAAGGACAAAGAACAGTTATAGACACAAGATGATACATCAGTTCTTCTGTGAATGTAAGATCTGTGTAAAAAAAAATATTACTCTCCATACTAGTGATAACTACTGTACCCAAAGCTCAGATGTGTAAACAGAAGTACACATAGCTTGTATGAGCTATGGGAACAACTCTTTTTCAGGTGACCGATTCAAATCATTTCAACACACATCAGATAAAACTGTACTGAAAATTTTGATGATGGAACTATTAAATGAACACAAGTCTTAAAATGGAAATCTCCAGCAACTGTTATTCTACAGGTGACTACCAGCAATGCCTCATATGCCTGGAGCTTTAGGCTAGGGCTTCATACCAAGGACCAATCTACTTAAGCAAGTGTAAGTAACTTTTCCCATCCCATCATGCCATACATTCCTACACTTTTGACAACTATTCAATGAAGGTGACAGAGGTGTTCTTGTAGCCATATGACAATACAGATTTGGAAGCTTTTCATGCCACAAGAAGTTTGTATTTTTGTTGTTAGGAATATTTAAGAAGTTTAAAACCAGCTATTCTTAGATTCAAAATACAAATAAACCCAGAACAATCAAAAATAAACACCTTGCAATAATACATTTAAAAAGGGGTGGGAAGATCCACATTTCTGGAGCTGTTAATGTTTCTGAGCACTACTCTAGGCCCACTTTGAAGATTCAATCCCCCACCAAGTTTTTTTTTGATGAAAAAGGTTTCAAAAAATTCAGCAGTACATCTTCAACATAGATCGCTTCTGAAATAATTAAATTGGATATTATTGGAGACAACTTAACTTCTGCTCAGGTTTTCTCTTCCAGTTGGACTGGACAAGCTGTAACAGAGATTCTAGTGCACAATTTCTAGACTCCTATGGTATGAAGAAATCTTCTGAAAGCTAACGCAGTGTAGAGAAAAGGATAACCTTGCTTCTGGTAGACTGAAGGTATGTAAGCAGCCCACAGGTAAGAGCAAAGAAATACTGTCATTGTTTCCCTTCTCTCAGGATGTTCCATGTACAAGATGACAGAAAAATATTTTGAGGTACTGCAGTTTAAACTTTAAAGCTAACTCAGTGAAGATCTAAATCTAAATAGCCTGAATGATCTACCATAACTAGGTAACCAGTGTTAATAATCAATTAATAAATGTCCTGTATCTAGTCTTTATGATCTATTAATTAGTTATGACTGCAGAATAACTTGTATCTTTGATCCACAGCTGAATCCTCCCTATTAGCAAAAAAAAAAAAAAAAAAAGACTTAAAAGTAATCTGTCCAGAAATAGTTATTATTAACATGTTCAGAAAGCAAGACATACCAAGGATAGGCCTTGACTAAGAAACTGTCTTCTCTAATGACACACACACACACACACCACCACGCACATCTTCTCTAATGATATACACACCACACCACTACCTATTGCTGCATAGGAATCAAAGAAATCGGCTTGGCAAACATGAATTAAATGGTCAGTAGAATAAACTGGTGACTGCAAAATTGTCTACTTCACTGTATCAATTTATAATGAATTAACATTCTGTTCTCTGCCCAAACAGTTGTGGATTTCTTCACTTTGTTTTTATAATCCGTATTCTTTGCAGGAACATTTATGACTACAGACTATTCTATGACTAGTGATGTCACACTTAAATCTGAAAGCACAGTAACAGAGAGAGGATTACTATAAGCAGACTTCAAATGAGGAAAGATGAAGTGCTTGGCAATGAGCACCTGTTTATCACATGAGCAAAAAATACGTTCCCTGAATATTAGCAACTGCATAAATTTAGAACAAGTTAATGACTCTGCAACACTGCCTGCTTCTGGGAGCAAAGCAGAGAAACAATAAAACTCAAGTATTAAAATCAAGTTCACATCCTATATGACTTACAGGAACTACTGTGTCTATTTGCAAGTGTAACTATATCCAGCATTATTGCATCACTGACAAATGAAATCCTTGGAGTAACAAAGTTTGAATACAATCAGTGTTTAAAGAACTCTGTTCCACAGCAGAAGGAAAGAAGAATTATAAAATGTTGCTTCTTAAATTACTGACACTACACTGATGTTAACAAAACAATAAATAGGATCTTGGTCAGTAAGACTACAGCCTCACAGACTACTAGAGTAAGAAAACAGTCATGCAGCTCTCCAGAGTGCCTGTCTACTCTGTTCCAAGTTGTCCAGGAACTGTAAGATGACTTTTCAAATTATGTTATTAAAGCAGTATCAGATCCAGAAAATTCAGGACCTATCACTATCTATGGATATTAACAAGAAGTAGGAGTATGATACCTTCCTTTCTACGAACAACTACCATTTTAAATCCATTCTGGAATACAGTATTTCTTACTCAAAAGAACCACACATAAAAAAACAACCAAACAAAAAATGCCACAAAAAAACAAAACCACCCTCCCACACATACACCCTCTGATTTCCCAGCAAACACTGCTTTACTACATCATCAAAATTCATGAAAGCATTACTGAATTCAGTCCCAAAAAACCTCACAGGCAAGTTAAATATTCAACCCAGAAAGGCAGAAAGTTTCATCAAAAACTGTCTGGCAATTTGTGGGACTAGGTGCTGACCAGTCCCCCAGACGGATTTACGGTATGCCTGCTTCTAACAATAGTTACTTACATAAATTTATAAACAATATCATTCAATTTCATTCAATTCTGCTGCATAAAGATACCAAGATTCCCTAAGAATATGTTTTCCTGGACAGTATATTAGAAGAAAATAATTAAGTGTTACATGTTTATTTAATCATTCAGTAATCATTTAAGGACACTTGTCATTTACAAGTTTATACATGCAAAAGAGAAACAAAAGTAATCGGGTTGGATCTCATTCAAGTCACTTATGGTTTCTTAATGGGTGATTAGAACATGTATTAAAGCAAAAATAACTGAAGAGACAATTTCATTTAAGAAATTTTGTTAGCTCTTCCAATCCTACTGTCATTTCAAAAAAAAGATGCATTTGCTTCCTTAGCAGTAGATTTCACTTTCAGTTTTTCTTCCTCTTAATGACTGGCATACTTCAAAAGCCTTTAAAGCTTCATCAACATATTCTGAATGAAGTGACACTAGAGAGCCGATACATTTACTGTATGTAACTCTCTTTCACTGTACTAAATATCTGTAAATAAAGAAACAGATTACATCTTTCAGGTGTATTTTCATAGATCACATGCCACAGACACTATCAACTTCAAAATACTTCTAGAGAGGTTGTTATAAATACTTAAAGGTAAGACAACACTGTGCTTACACTACTAGACAACAGTAGCTGTAGCAATGCAATACTGGAATTGATACCTACCTACCATCACTGTTAGAACAACTGTCTTGTAACATCAAGACACAAATTACTTTAAAAGCATGTAAAGGCTATACTTACACAAACATGAATGA